ACCGAGGGTTCGGACGATTGTCTGAAGACGAGGGCGACGGACTGCGGCGCCTGCTTGCGCGCTTGTCCGCAGCCGCGTCACCCGAGGATCCGATCGCCTCGGAGGCCACCTGAGTAGCCTCCTTGAGTGCAGAGCCTTTGCCGTGAGGCTTAGTGCTCTTGGCCTGCGTCTTACCGGCTGCAGCCTTGGAGCGTGTCTTAGCACCGCTCTTAGCAGTGCCACGAGGCATGTTAACGGTCGAAGTGGAGACCTTGACGAAGAGCGCACAGGTTGCTGCTCGAGGCTCTAACTGTAAAGTGAGCCTCCGCCGCGCTCGCGCGGCCGAGTCGATGGTTTTCGACTTTGAGAATGAGAGTTTGTGACGAACATCTCTTCATTCTGATTGGTCGGTAAACCGAACCTAAGTGGGGGAGGATGTAACGGGGTACGTAGCACTAAGTGTACCCTGGTTACATGAAGTGTGACACTTCACACTTCAGGAGTATGACATGTCATACTCCGGGATATTTGGTACAAGGTACCAAGGTCATTCAAAACCAACCATTGGTTAAATGACATTGCATTTCTATAGGTAGCTGATAGTTTGTATTAACCACAAACTTAACCTACCTATAAATATACTCAGTTTACAATCTACCTTATTTAGGTCACTTCGCTCTCTTTAATTAAAGAGGGGACCAGTGAACTGCCGTTCACTGAGAGTTTGTATACTCTCGGAAGATAACTTCCTCTAGCGCAAGGTGCTGTGTGACCCCGTCACATTAGTACTTACGGTTTGTTAGTACAATACACGTTTGCATGCTCATCAACGCTCCCTCTCATACATAACACCTCTTTTTATAAAGTTGCTGATTAAAAAAGAAGGACTCGCTTTGTCTGGTAGGAGCTATTGGTATCGCCAACGGTCCTTGCTGGACAAACCAATTGTAAACGTGTTTACCTAGAATTTCTACTTCAAATGAACAAATAATGCTAATTACTCTTTAATTTAGGACTGATGCACTCTCGTTAATATAATGCAATTTTTGCAGTATCTCTTGAGGCTAACGTATTAGACTTTCTCAGCCTACGCGTACCTAGTATCTCATTTCCAAATTTATTCCTTCTCCAGTTGAGCAGCACGCCTGGTGGCTCGCTTTTTTTCTAATGTAAATCACCCTGATGAGATATTCTAACTGAGAATAATAGTAGATAAAGGGTTAAATTATTATCACTGAGAATTATATTATTAAGCGTTATACGTCATTATAGAGTATGTGAAAACTTTAATTTTTAGAGTACTATACATCGCATGTGTGACTCGTAAGCTTAGTGACTTTGTCGTTTGTTGACCACATGTTACCTTCGCCGCCACGGTGAGCTCACGTACGAACCCTCTTCCTTCGTCGCTGTGAGTGCGGAAAATCTGGGTGAAGGTGGCTCCCAGATTGCTACGGGGTGGAGCCACTTTCCTATTAGATTCTGGGATGTCGTCCCAGATTTAGGTTAATCTAAGCTCATCGGTCTATTTAGAGAACAGGCGTACGGTTCTACGAGATATTTGATATATATCCAAGCTACTAATCTTTCTACCGATAACCTGAGCCAGACGCAGAGGAGGTCTCCGACGCCGTGTCCACGCCACTGAGAGCCATCTCCCACACGGATTTCTCCTTTGCCTCCATGAGGCAATTCAAGCAGAACCGCAGCGTGCATTGCTTGACTTCCCCCGTGTTCGACACGTCGACGGTCATCTTCTTGACAACGCTGCACTTGGCACACATCGCACGACGGCAGATTTGACACGAGGCACTGGTGGACGTGAGTGCAAACATACTGAAACTCTTGTAGCACGTCTCGCAGCGCTTGGGCTTCGTCTGTCCTGACTCGCGACGAGATCCACGTTGCTCTTTACCCTTCTCCTTCATGAACCACGTGAGTTTCTTGACGTACGCGTAGTCGACAACACGAGACGCGCTGATGATGGCGTCAGCTCCGACTGCTGCAGCTACGCGGTCCGGGATCTTCCCTCCCGAATTACTGTAGTTTCGAGCGTATTTCTCGACCTTACCAGGTCCTTTCTGGCGATCGATGAAGCACAAGCTCAACTTTGCACGGATGATACCGAGATCCGTGAGCTCTGGGACGCCAGGCAGCGAGATGGAGTGCATGAGGTAGTAGCCGATCTTTTGGCCCTTGGAATCACGAGTTAACCCCGTCGCCTCCATGATGAGGTAGTCGCGTTGCTGCATAATACTCGACAGCACTGCAGGTCGTTCTTTCGCGAACCATTTGATGCCCAGGAACTGGAAAGGGTCATCATGAGTTGGCTTGCGGATAGTGGCCAGAATTCTGGCATCGTCGAGACGGTCGTTGATGTGGGAGCTGCGCCACTTCCACGCTTCATCCGTGGACGCGAATGTCCCAAACATACAGTCGTCCAGAGAGCCATCCACGCCATGAGCAGAGCATCGGGAGGCTGAAGAACCACAACGAGGCGCTGAATTCTGGGCAAAACCTCCATAACTGCTTTCAGGAGTTCTGGCACGTAGATGAAGTACTGATCCTCAATGTAGATGAAGTTTTAAGCGTTCTTTAGCGCCTTGATACGAGCCCTTAAGAGAGGA